CCCCCCCCGCCCCCGTCAGTCACTGACCTTTCTTTTCGCAGCACATGCTAATCCAAGTACAAAAAACTATCCATAATTACAAAGTAGTTAACACAAGCTGAAAGGAATTGGACTAATTGTATCTTTTATCTGATTCCACAAACGATTAACTATCCAGTAAATTACTTTTGGAGTCCTAGTGTGGCGCTGTGGGTTAATGTGCTGAACTGCAAAGTTGGTTTGAACCGCAAGGTTGTTGGTTCAAGCTCACCAGCTGCTCCTCAGAAACCCTATACAGGGTCACTATGGGTTGGAACCAACTCTACAGCACTTAACAACAACAAGAAGTTACTGTTAAGTGCAAAGCACTGCAATGAAGACAAACCTTTTGGGAGTTATTTGCACATAAGGAGCTTACAAAAATCAAATGGATATTAACTGCAGAATTATAATTGATATTCACATTTTGAAAATGAAGTGAAAAAGTTTTCATTTTACCTTATTAATGTAAATAGTTCCCATTTATCAATATCTGTTTGGAGAGACATACAAACAGACTTTTCCTTGGGACCAAGAATGGAAAGTCTTCATTTCACTTACTTTGGACATGTTAGGGACCAGTCCCTGGAAAGGACATCATGGTTGGAAAGTAGTGTCAATGAAAAACAGGAAGGCACAGTGTTGACAACCATGGGCTCAAACACAGCAATGAGTGCGAGGATCGTGCTTGAGCAGACAGCATTTCCTTCCATTGTAGATAGATAGGGTCACTCTGAGACAGACCCCAACCGATCACACCTAGCAACAGCAGCAGTATTTCCATTTCTTCAAGAACGGTTTGTTGAAAGATTAGGATGCACCATGTGAATATCAAGGGATGAGGATTCTTGGCTGTGGGAACAGCAAGAGCAGCTGAGAGTAGTCCTGGAAGGGCTGTGTAACAAGGAGGCCAGAATAACGGGAGCATTATGGACCAGAAGGGACAGAGTAGGAGAGTTGATCAGAGAGGTTCCCAAAGGCTGGGCTGTGTAACACCCCGTGGGTGTGATAAGGAGACACTGCGCCATCTTGGACAAGGGTGAAATGACCTGAGCTGAATTTTAACAGCATCATTCTTACTACAATAGTGACGAAAGGTAAAGGAGAAC